CCCGGTCCGGGGCGTCGCGGGCGCGGCCTGGCCGCAGCTTCCCCGGACCGGTGGGACTCGAACCCATAATCGACAAAAGGAGTCACCCACACTCAGTAGGGCTAGGAATCAATGGCCACGGTGTCTGACCTCCACTATGCCAAGACAGTGAAGAACAGCAATAAACTCAACTAGCTCTGGGTATTTATTTATTTTTTATTTATTTTTTGTCAGTCATGGGGCCTGAACTCTGGGCCTGGGCGCTGTCCCTCAGCCCTTCAGCTCAAGGCTAGCGCTCTACCACTTGAGCCACAGCGCCACTTCCAGCTTTTTTTTTGCTTATGTGATGCTGAGGAATCGAACCCAGGGCCTCATGCGTGCAAGGCAAGCACTCTACCAACTGAGCCACCTTCCCAGCCCTAGCTCTGGGTATTTAAAGGCAAGATCCATGGGGGAAGGGGACGCCATGCGCAGGTGGCCAGTGGTAGTTTCTTTTTTTGGGGGGGTCTGGTCATGGGGCCTGAACTCTGGGCCTGGGCGCTGTCCCTCAGCTCTTCAGCTCAAGGCTAGTGCTCTACCACTTGAGCCACAGCACCACTTCCAGCTTTTTTTTTGCTTATGTGGTGCTGAGGAATCGAACCCAGGGCCTCATGCATGCAAGGCAAGCGCTCTACCACTGAGCCACCTTCCCAGCCCCACAGTGGTAGTTTCTTGATCAGCAAAGAAGCAAGTTACAGAAGCAGAGCTAGCAGTTAGTGATTCCAAAATGGCAATTGTAATTCCAGTTGTTACACTAACCTAGGCCATAAGTCACAAGGCAAAGTCCTTATCCCAGATCTTCCCATCAGAGAAGCAAGGTAGTGAAAATAGCAATGACAGTCTCTATAAGCAAAGCAATGTCTTCGAAGCAAAAACCACATTCCAAATTTCTTTTTTTTTTGTCGGTTGTGGGGGCTGAAATCTGGGCCTGGGCGCTGTCCCTCACCTCTTCAGCTCAAGGCAAGCACCCTACCACTTGAGCCACAGTGCCACTTCTGGCCTTTTTCTGGTTATGGGATACTGAGGATCGAACCCAGGACCTCATGCATACAAGGCAAGCACACTACCACTGAGCCACCCTCCCAACCCTTCCAAATTTCTTATCACACCTAAAAATCAAACCGCCTTCCAGGTTTTCTGGCCCTTTCTGAGTTTCACTTTTATTTACCAAATTCTAGTAACCTGGTGTTTAACGCACTAATTTATTTCAAGCATTTATCTTTGGAATTTTTCCTTTTAATGATTATCCTGGAATTTTTCTCTATAGGGAGATCCTGCCTTCCAAGCGTGGCCCTATTTTTACTTTGCAAATTTCAGTAAATGCTAGACTGCAGTTTGCCCCATTCCTAGGTTCTGTACCTGTTTCTCAGGTTACTTGGGACTTGTTTGTTCCAGTTACATTTCATTCTTCCTGGGTCTAATTAACACTGTTTAATTTAACATGGTTCTAACAAGCATCTCCCCAGGTATCCCAGGCTGGCCTTGAACTTGAAATTCCTTACGTGAAATCCCAGCACACAAGGCTCCCTTCAGTCTCCTTTCTATGATGGAAAGTGAATTGCTATTTTTTCAGACCTTCCCCCATCTCTAGTCTGTGGTCTCCAGCTTCTTTTCCTTATCTCATCTTTGGACTATATTCCCAAGTATGGTCCCAAATGGTCTCCCAATCTACATTGTTCCATTGTTCTGAGTTATATGTCCTTGTGCTTTAGAGTCTAGGCAGGAAATGGCAGAGCTATCAAGGTTGTAGCTTGAACTCTTGTCCTAGTCTCTGTCCCTGAGCTCCTTTTGCTGGTGCTCTGCCACTTGAACCACAGCTCCACTTCCAGCTTTTTCTGTGGTGATTAATTGGGATAAGAGTCTCATAGAGTTCCCCACCTGGGCTGGTTTCCAACCGTGATCCTCAGATCTCAGTGGCTTGAGTAGCTAGGATTACAGATGTGAACCACTGATTCTCAGCTCTTTGTGTCTCTTTGGAGACACAATTTCATGTGCTTTTCTAGGTTTTGGCTGGCCTCAGACTGCAATTCTGAGCCAAGTCTTTTGAGTGGCTAGGATTACAGGCACATGCCACCGGTGCCTAGCTATGTTATGAAATTTTAAAACAGGGAAACAGAACAAATAAGCACAACTTTGAATTACATGAGCAAAATTTCACCAGAAACATATACTTCAATGTAACAAGATGTTTAAAATTTGTCAAATAGTACTGAGTTTGGGAACAGTACTAAGAAACAGCGCATTTGCATGTTGCTGTTTTGGTAATATCTCAAAACCATGTTGCAGGGTCATTGATCCATTTACTTTCAATCTTAATATGAGCAAGAAATTTTCTGATGGAATAAAAGCAAATGAATGTACAGTGTGTGGGAATTTTTTTCATGTGTCATTCATCCTTTAATAGGCAGACCTTTTCTCTTAACTCTTGCTTATAGCCAGATGACTATGAGGAATATGGAGAAAGCTATATAGATACAAACAATGTGGGAAAACCTTCATTACTCTCACATAAGCACCCTGCAATGTAAATGGACCTTATGAATGTAAGGCGTATTTGAAAGCTTCTGAATTTCCCAGTTCATTTCAAATAGGTTACAAACAAAATGACATTGCAGAAAAGTCCTGTGAACGCAGACAAAATGAAAAGGTCTTTGCTTGTCTTAGTTCCTTTCAAATATGTGGCAGAGGGGCTGGGAAGGTGGTTCAGTGGTAGAGTGCTTGCCTTGCAAACATGAGGCTTTGGGTTCGATTCCTCAGCACCACATGAGCAGAAAAAAAGCTAGAAGTGGCACTGTGGCTCAAGTGGTAGAGCCCCTGCCTTGAGCTGAAGAGCTGAGGGGCAGGGCCCAGGCCCAGAGTTCAGACATCACAGCCGACAAAACCAAAACAAAATAAGTGGCAGAACCCACATGGTAGAAAAATGTTCTCACTGTAAACATTGTGGAAAAGCTCACTTCCAGGGATGCTTGGAAGACATGAAAGAACTCTACGGAAGGAAAACCCTATGGACATAAACTGGTAAAGCCTTGAGATCTCTGTTACCTTCTGGTCTATGACATCATAGTGAAGAAAAGTGCTATGAATGAAAACAATGATAGGAAAAACACTACACTGGAGAAAAACCTTACTAATATGAGCAAACTAAGAAAGCCTTCAAAGGTCTCAGATACCTTCAAGTGCAGAAAGGAACACATAGTGAAAAGTTCTTATGTATATAAATTGGTGAAACAGTTAAATTTCCTTCAGTCACAAGAAGCTCATTGGAACAAACACCCTATGTGTGCAAGTGATGTGGGAAAGTCTTCAGTCTCTGTTACCTTCAAGGACATGAAAGAACTCAAAGCAAAACCCTGGGAATGTGAACAAGGTGCAAAGTCCTTCATTTATCCTTGTCTTTTCAGATGCATGAAGAATCATACTGGAGAAAAGCCTTACTGATAAGTAATGTGATAAATTCAGACTCTACACCTTCCTTCAATGACTTGAAACTATTCACATCGGAGAGAAACCTTATGAATGTAAATATTGTGGGAAAGTCTTCAGGCATCACGGTTCCATTGGAGTACATGAAAGAATTCTAGCTGGAGAAAAGCCCCATACATGTAAACAATGTAGGAAGCCTTCAGTGGCCACAGTTTGCTTGGAAGACAGGAAAAATGCTGGAGAAATTTTGTGAACATAATGATCAAACTTTCAAGTCCTTTCAAGTCCATATGTATTATGTATACTTAACAAATATGAAACATGTATGAGGTTAGCAAATCATGATTAAAAAAGGACAAATGGAAATAAAAGCCCCACTATGATTGAAAAACTATTCTACATCTACCAACTCACTACAAAACAGCCTGAAAATTCAGTATATTGCCATAGGAAATTGAAAAGTGTGTAAGTGTGTATATATATATATACACACACCAAGTCAGTGCTTGAATTCTGAAGGCCATAGAAGAGAGTTACTACAGAAATACTATCAGCATAGCAGAAGGCAAATGTGTAAATAAAAATATTCCCCTAGCTTATAAATCATAATCAGGATATCTGAAGAATGAAAATTGTTTTTTGTTGGTCTGGGGGCTTGAACTGGAGCCCAGAATACTGTCCTTGAGGGTGCCACCCGCCCCCCCCCCCAAGTGGCTCACACCTGTAATCCTGGCTACTCAGGAGGCTTAGCTCTGAGGATCATGATTTGGAGCCAGTAAAAGCAGGAAAGTCCATGAGACAGCCAGGTGCCAGTGGTTCACGCCTGTCATCCCAGTTACTCAGGAGGCTGAGATATGAGGATCATGGTTCAAAGCCAGCCTGGACAGGAAATTCTGAAAGACTCATCTCCAAGTAGCACTGTGGAAGTGGTAGAGCGCTAGCCTTGAGCTGAAGAGCTGAGGGACAGCGCCCAGCCCCAGAGTTCAAGCTCCACAACCAACAACAACAAAAATGAGGGGAGGGGCAGGTTTTGAAGACTAGGCAGGGGTGTGAGGATGAGGAGGTGGCTATATCCACCCAGTGTCTGAGTGCATGGAAACACCATCGTGAGACCTGTCTTCATGTTCAGTTCACATGAGAGGAACGTCCTTGGAAGTGAATCTTTTTGGTCACAGCATCTGGGGAGTAGAAGAGTCTTCAGTGCAGGGTGTGGCTGTGGGTGAGGATTTAGCCCGGGTGAGTTGAGTGACTGGTCAGCTGTGTGCTGAGCTGGTTGAACAGCAGCGGCGCAGGACACCTGGGGTTCTGCAAGGACAACGCTAGCCATGCTCCCCGTGACGCCCTCGCTGCCAACACGATGCATGTCTTCCCTGGCCTTCATTTTTACTTAAAAGTTTTGCACTGGTACTGGGGCTTGAACTCAGGGCCTGGTGCTCTTGCTTAGCTTTTTTGCTCAAGGCTGGCACTCTACCCCTTGAGTCAGCTCCACATCTGGATTTTGGTGGTTCATTAAAGATAAGAGTCTCATGGATTTTTCTTCCCTGGGCTGGCTTTGAACTGCAATCCTCAGATCTCAGCCTCCTGAGTAGCTGGGATTACAGGTGTGAGCCGATGCTGCCTAGCTTTTCAGGATGGATTTCTTGAAACATCACGAAGTCTTCATTTTCCCTCTTAATGGCTCCAAGAACTGCCACTCAGATTTTCCAGGAGACAGGTTGTAAGATCTTTCTAGTTAGCCTAGAAAGATAATATTTGAGTAAATGATATCTAAGACCATAAAATGATAGGTGACTAGAGAATGCTAACTTACAAGTTCCCTTTAAAAACAAGAAAAGAAAGATGAAATGTATCAGGTTCATTGTACTCACATCAAAAAGCTCACTTTGTGATTTGATTGGTTAATTTGCTTTAATACTTTTAGGATTGAGGCGGGGTCAGCAGTGTGGGGTTGTAACTCCTAGTCTAGGGGCCTGGTTCAATTATTGGAGATGTGGCCTGAGCACCAGGGGTTTATCTAAGGTGTCAGGGGCGTGGCCAAAGTGGTAGAGCCCCTGGGTAAGTCCTACCTAGCAAACATCAGACCCAGCACATTAGGACCAACACTAGATGGTATAGGTTGTGCTTTATCACCTGAGCCACACCTTTAGACTTTTTGCTTATTTATTTATTTGCTTTTTCTTTTGTGGGTCATGGGTCTTGAATTCTAGGCCTGGGTGCTGTCCCTCAGCTCTTCAGCAAAAGGCAAGCACTCTACCATTTGAGCCACACCACCACTTGTGGCTTTTTCTCCTTATGTGATACTGAGGAATCGAACCCAAGGCCTCATCTATGCAAGGCCAGCACTCTTCCGCTGAGCCACCTTCCCAGCCCCTGTTTATTTGCTTTTTAAAGTCTGTTTTTCCAGAGAGGGTCTTGTATTTTTTCCATGGTCGGCCTCAGACCACGATCCTTCTATCTTCTCCCGAATAGTTGAAATCATAGGTGCACACCACTATGCCTGCCTTGTTTTTTTGTTTTTTTTTTAAATATTTATTGGGCTGGGAAGGTGGCTCAGTGATAGAGTGCTTGACTCGCATGCATGAGGCCCTGGGTTCAATTCCTCAGCACCACATAGGCAGAAAAAGCCAGAAGTGGCACTGTGACTCAAGTGGTAGAGAGCTAGCCTTGAGCTGAAGAGCTGAGGGACAGCGCCCAGGGCCAGAGTTCAGGCCCCACGACCAACAACAACTAAATGTTATTTATTTTGTGGTACTGGGGTTTGAACTCAAGGTTTCGGGCTCTACTCCACACCTCCAGGCCTGGCTTGATTTTTGAGATCCCATCTCACTAACTTTTGCCTAGGTTGGCCTTGAACTGTGATCTTCCTGTCTGCCTCCCAAGTATCTAGTGTTACAGGTGAGGAACACCCTCTGGGGTGCAGATTAATCTCTTTGGAACCTAAATTTAGTTTAAACTTAGTGTAAAAAGTTACATACAGTATTGGGAAAATATGAAATTTTGATATATTTCTATATAGTAAAAACTTCCAAAATTCTTCAAGCTTGCTTGCTTCCTCCCTCTCACCCTTCCTTCTTCCCTCCCTTGTTTTCCTTTTTTTCTTTTTCTTTGTGTCAGTGCTGGGGCTTGAACCCAGGGCCTCACACTCGCCTAGCTTTTTTTTGTTTGTGGCTGGCACTCTACCCTCTGAGCCACACCTCCACCTCCACCTCCCACCTTTTTGGTGGTCCTTTTTTTTTTTTTTTAATTTAATATCCTTGGGCATGCTGAAGCTAATTTGTAGGCTACTAAGGGTTGACCCTATTTCTATTTCTTTTTTTCTTGTCGGTTGTGGGGCTTGAACTCTGGGCCTGGGCGCTGTCCCTCAGCTCTTCAGGTCAAGGCAAGCGCTCTACCACTTGAGCCACAGGGCCACTTCCTTTTTGGTGGTTCTTTGGGGATGAAATGTCTCAAGGACTTTCCTGCCCGGGCTGACTCGGGGCCTTGATCCTCAGATCTCAGCCTCCTGAGGAGCTAGGATGCCGGGCGTGAGCCCCTGGCCCGGCTGTGTGGTTATTATTTCTATTGGAGATGGGCCGTGCGTTACGCTTGGGCTGCTGTTCATGCTTTCTCCTGTGACTGGAGAGGGCGGCTCTCGGCCATTTGGTGGATGGCATCTCTTGAACTTCTGTTTGCCTGGTTTCCCCGAGCCCAGGGCTCATCGGCCCTGCCAAGCGCCCGGGCCGCAGGTCTGGACCGGCGCGGGTCAGCCCACTGCGGACGGGCTGGGCCGCGGCCCGGTCAGCCAGCGGGGCGCTGGGCCGCTCACCTGGGCGGGCCGGGCGGCCTCGGGCGCCGCCTGGCTGGACAGGGTGTAGGACACGGGTTCCTCTGCCGACTTCCCGGTCCTTCGGAACCATCTGCGGTATTGATCCCGCACCTGTGGAGGGAGCGAGCTGTGGGCGCGCTGGGGGACGGCGGGGAGGCTGAGCCTGCGGGGAGGGGAGGGGGGCGAGGGGGGGAGGGGAGGGGTGGGGGCACCTGCTGGCTGAGCAGGCAGTAGACCAGGAAGAGGAAGACGCCCTGCAGGCTGTTGGCGATGGTGAACAGGTACGCCAGGACCCGCGCCGCCGCGCCCACCTGCAGGACGCCCAGGATCCACGTGCAGCCCAGGATAAAGAGCTGGGCGACTCCTTTAAATGCCAGCATCCTGGGACAGGGAGACAGAGAGACAGAGCGCCCTGATACCACCAGAACAAACCCACGGATGACGTCCTGGCTGCCCTCCTCTGGCTGGCTGCTCAGGCTGAGCTGGGAGGGTCACTGTCATGGCGTTTCACACTGTGAGTCTCTTTCCTGGGGGACACCTGTGGCCTGTGAGGACGCTGACACGTGATAAAGTTCTCATAATTTCATGAGCGCCTGTGGCTCGCGCCTGTCATCCTAAGCTACTCAGAAGGCTGAGATCTGAGGATCGCAGTTCAAAGCCAGCCTGAGCAAGAAAGTCAGTGAGACCCTTATGTCTAACACCACACACACACACACACACACACACACACACACACACACACACACACACACACACACACACACCAGTGCTTAAAAGGGCTGGAAGCATGGCTCAAGGGGTAGAGTACCAGCCAACAAGCATGAGGCTCTGAGTTCAAACCCTTATACCATGAAAATATAAAAACAAAAGGAGAGAGCAAGACCAGATCCTTGCATTCATAAAGGTGACAGTGCATTCAAACAGTGAATCACTAAACATTGACATGCGAACTGTCCTTCCAGCAAAGCACTCTGGGAGGGTCTGATGTTGGTTAGGATTTCTTCGTTTGGTGGGAGGAATGGTTGGCTGGAATGGCACATGTAGGCTGGGGGGTGGGGTGGGAGGTGGCATCAGAAACTGGGTTCAGGGATGGACAGTACGTTTTGGGGGTGTTAGCAGCACCCTGCTGAATGCTAGTGGGATCATGAATGGAAGTTTTTTTTTTTTTTGGTTGCAGAGCTTGAATTCAGGGCCTGAGCACTGTCCCTGAGCTCTTCTGCTCAAGGCTGGCACTCCTTTGAATCAGCTCCGCTTCTGGTTTACTAATGGTTCATTGGAGATAAGAGTCTCATGGGGAGTTTCCTGCCAGGGCTGGCTTTGAACTGAGATCCTCATATCTCAGCCTCCTGAGTAGCAGGATGACAGGTGTGAAGTCACCAGTGCCCGGCACATTTGTTAACTTCGTATCCAGTCAGAGAAGGGACACCAGGGCTACACAGTGGGTTTGGCTTTGGGGAGCACACGCGTGCGGGTCATCTCACCTGGTGTCCCGGAGGGTGGACACGTCCCGGCTGAGGGTGGAGAGCCTGCTCTTCACCACCCACACGGTCAGCAGAAAGCACACCATGTTGATCTTGAGGAGACCATGGGAGCACCGTGAATGCCCCCTTCTGTTTCTTTGTGGGCTGGGGGTGAACCCCAGGGCCTTACCTACACCCCAGCCCCACCCCAGCCACACAGGAGTGGAAGTTGAGCAATTTGATCTCCTGTCAGGCCACCCAACACCCATGGCAAATGGCAGTCTTTTCCATCTCTAGTGGAAGCATCAGAATCTGGAAGTTTCAGGAACACAACCCAACCCCGGGGCCAGCCTGCGGCATTCCCGCCCCTTGGGTGTTCGTAGCGTCCTGCCCAGATGGGTATTAGGAGGTCTGAGGAGTCACTCACAGAGATGATGGTGCAGACTGGGCCGAGGAAAGCCCACACGAAGCCCTTCTCTGTGTTCAGCCAGCAGCTGGACAGAGACACAACCAACAGTGCAGATAAAACCGTCTTCCTTCTTCCCTTCCTTTTTCTTTTCCCCTCCTTCCTTTATTTTTATATTATGATGATGATAATTGTTATTATTTGCCAGTCCTGGGGCTTGAACTCACCACCTGGGCACTGTCCCTGAGCTTCTTTTGCTCAAGGCTAGCACTCTACCACTTGAGCCACAGCGCCACTTCTGGCTTTTTCTGTGTCTGTGGTGCTGAGGAATGGAACCCAGGGCCTCATACATGCTAAGCAAGCACTCTACCACTGAGCCACCTTCCCAGCCCCTCCTTCATTTTAAACTTCCTTTCTCATCCCTCCTTTTCTTCCTCTCCCTCCTTCCCTCCTTGTCTCCCTTTTCCCTCCCTCTCCTTCATTTTTTCCTCCCTCCTTCCATCCTTTTTCCCCTTCCTTCCCTCTTTCATTCCTTTCCCTTACCTTCTCTCCCTCTTCCTCTTTTCCTCCCTCCTTCCTTTCCCCTCCCTCCCTTCCTTCCCCTTTCTTCCTCAGTACTAGTGTGTCTCTTCTGCGATTTTCTGTAAAGACCCAATGGGGAAGAAAGTACACATGGTTTATGTCCCACACATGTCACTTCTGCGAGGACACAGTGAACCATCAAGCAGAAAAGAGGTGACATCTCTCTTGGATGTCATACTTAGTTTGAGATGGCAAATAAGTCAATGCTCCTGAGATAAACATGGCCAAAGTAGAACACAGACATGTAACTGTGTGTGTGTGTGTGTGTGTGCGCGCGCAGTCCTGGTGCTTGAACTCAGGGCCTGGGCACTGTCCCTGAGCTGCTTTTGCTCAAGACTAGCCCTCTACCACTTGAGCCACAGCACCACTTCTGACTTTTTGGTGGATAATTGAGGATAAGGGTCTCACTGGATTTTCCTACTCAGCCCTCAGTCTCCTGAGTAGCTGGGTTTACAGGGCTGAGTGACCTGTGCGCAGCTCCACTGGATCTTTGCTGCACGGAATTCATCCTCTTTGAGCAGAATCCCTGTTTGCTGGCCAAGCTCTGGAGTAAATGCTCGGCACCCGCTTTGGTTCCGCGTGGCCGGAAGGGCTGGGGCGGGCGGTGTCCGCACTCACCGGGCAGGCGTGCCGTAGAGCCGAGGCCGGGCCGCCGCGGCCACGGCCACCGTGACAGCGGGGAGCCCGTAGCCCACGGGGAACATGAGCGCTCGGAAGCCTCTGCTCCTGGCGGAGGAGTGCAGCACCGTCAGGTTGCGGGCGGCGAGGAGCAGGTGCAGCCCCTCCAGCAGCATCCAGGTGAAGGCGGCCAGGTAGAGGTAGTGCAGGGCGCCGGCGATGACGGCGCAGAGCACCTGCGGGGGGGGGGGGGAGGAGGGGGAGGAGGAGACGGCCCGAGTGCGACTCACTGCAGATCACCCCCCGCCCTTCCCCTCCTTGTGCCCAGAGTTCTGCCGGTGCTGGGCAGGTGCTCCACGACTCGAGCCTCACCTCTAACCCGTTCTGCTCTAGCTATGTGTGGAACACCTTTTTCTCACTTTTTTTTTTTAAAGCTGGCCCAGCCCAGACTGCGATCCTCCTGTGTGTGCTGCCTATCAAAGCTGTGTTTACAGGTGCGCACCACCCTGCATGCCCAGCCTCTTCTGCTGAAGTGGGGTGTTACAGACTTTCCCCGTTTATCTGGGCTGACCTGGAATCACAGTCCCACCAAACTCCGCCCCCGAGTGTCTAGTGTCAGTGTGAGCCGCCATGCCTGTCTACTTTCTCAGTGCCATTGTATTTCACAGTCCAAGGCGGCAGCCTGGCTCCGTGCGCCCTTGGGCGGCGCGGGGGGCCTGGGGGCCGAGGGGCACGGTGGGTACCTTGGGCTCGGTGCGGTGGATGGCGGTGAGGAAGAGGAGGTGGGCGAGGAAGAGGCAGATGGAGAGCTGCAGGTGCAGGGTGGTGCTGAGGTTGCGGATGGCCCTGCACAGGAGGAAGGTGAGGGCCGCCAGGAGGAGGCAGAGCAGGGAGAGGCCGAGCCCCACTTGGGTGATGAGGGCCAGGGCGGGGTCGGCCTCCTGGGAGGGGGCGGAGCAGAGACGGTGGTCACTGCCTCCCGCTTGGGGTCACTGACCCCACACCCCACACCCAGACTCATTAGTATTTGGCTTAGCACGTTATAGAATGAAGGGCCCAGGGAAATTTGTGAACTTGATGGCTAAGTGTGACCAGGTTTGGAGTTTTAGATTACAACAGATTCTTACTTACTTTTTTGCTGCAGTGAGCATTCGACACAGGGCCTGGCGCTCCTCCTAGGCAGCTGGTCTACCACCTTGGCCACGCCCCCTCCCCAAAATCACACCCACTCTGAGACCAAGACCCATAGTGGAGCCAAGCCCACACCACAGAGCAACTCTATACCAGACACACCCCAGCCGTGGAGGCACACCCTCACTGGGAGCCCCGCCCCACGTCACGAGCCCCGCCCCTGCCATGAGCCACGCCCCTGCCGTGAGCCACGCCCCTGCCGCGAGCCACGCCCCTGCTGTGAGCCACGCCCCTGCCGTGAGCCACGCCCCTGCCGCGAGCCACGCCCCTGCCGTGAGCCACGTCCCTGCCGTGAGCCACGCCCCTGCCGTGAGCCACGCCCCTGCCATGAGCCACGCCCCTGCCGTGAGCCACGCCCCTGCCATGAGCCAGGTCCCCAGCTCATTTTTGCATTGGTTAGAATTTTTTAATAATTTCATTGTTACTATGAACGTGGGGTGCAGAGGGGCTACCATTTTAGAAGCCAGGTAATGAGTGCATTTCCTTTTCTGGAATGATGTCATCCCTTCCATTACTTTCCAGCCAATTTCCCCCTCCCGTCCCTGCCCACAGGGTTGTTTTCAAGGTCGGGTCTGCTAGGCAATCATCCTATCTGTGCTTCTCTGGGACGCAGGGCATGACAGGCACACGCCCCTGCCTGTGCCCCACTATTTTGGTTCCCTTGTAGCCAGGAAAACAGGCAAGGCCTGTGCCACTGCGCCCAACCATTGGTTGAGATGGAGTCTCATAAACATCTTGCCTGGGCTGGCCTCGAACTGCCACGGTGGCTACCTGATTCCTCCCAGGGAAGCAGAATGACAGGCCTGAGCCACTGCACCCAGCCTCGATTTTAAGTGTTTCTTTTTTCTTTTTTTATTTGCCAGTCCTGGGGCTTGAACTCAGGGCCAGGGCACTGTCCCTGAGCTTTTGTGCTCAAGGCTGGCGCTCTAGCCCTTGAGCTACAGCTCCATGTCTGCCTTTTGGTGGTTCATTGGAGAAAAGAACTTCAAGGCCTTTCCTGCTGAGGCTGGCTTTGAACCATGATCCTCAGATCTCAGCCTCCTGAGCATCTGGGATGACAGGCGTGAGCCAGCAGCGCACGCACGCGGCTCCTTCCTGTGCACTGGTCTCACTTCCACAGCTCGCTGGGTGCCGGTCTGCCGGTGACAGCGGAGGCTGCGCATGGTCTCACCTGCCTGCCATCGTGGGCCATGAGCACGGCAAAGCTGCTCAGGTGGGAGCAGCTGCAGGTGGTGCTGGAGTCTCCGGTGTCCACCGTCTCGCAGCCCGTGGTGACCCAGTGTCCACACTCACCCCGGCCACCAAGCCACGACACACAGAGCACCCCACGCCGCGGCCCAGCGCTCACCGGCTGCAGGGACAGGACAGGGGCGAGAGACACGGCTCAGAGATGAAGGCCCAGGCTGGCCTGGGAAGGGCTGGCTCTTGGGGTGGGGGGACCCCAAAGCCAAGAAGCACAACCAGGGTGTGTCCTGAACTCAGGCTCTTCCCTGCCCATCGCCCGTCCACCGGCGCTCACACGGTGGGAGAAGGTGAAGGTCACCGGGGAGCTGAGGTTCTGCGTGTCCCGGTGGCTCAGGAAGGCTGTGATGACGTCGGAGAGCAGGACTGGTGTCAGGTGTGGGCCCCAGTTTGTCTCAGGAGTTGCCTCCTGTGCTGGCTCCAGGACCAGCGGAGCCTCAGCCAGCAGCTTGCCCATCTTGGGAATGGAGATGAGGCCCACCATGGCGGGGCCTGTGGGCCAAACGCAAGGGTGAGCTCGGGGTGCCTCCTCAGATGGACCCTTCCTCTCTTGGCCTCACCCCTCTCCCATGCTCCCTAAAATTTTGTGTGCTGGTACTGGGGTTTAAACTCATTGCTTGGGCGCTGTCCTGAGCTTTCTCTCTCTCTCTCTCTGTGTGTGTGTGTGTGTGTGTGTGTGTGTGTGTGTGTATGCGTGCTCAAGGCTAGCGCTCTATCGCTTGAGCCACAGCTCCACTTCTGGCTTTTTGCTAGTTATTGGAAATAAGAGTTTGGGCTTTCCTTCACAGGCTGGCTTTGAATCATATTCCTCAGATATCAGCCTTCTGAGTGGCTGAGATTATAGGCATGAGCCACTGCACCTGGCTTTTAACTCTCTCTCTTTTTTGTAGGTCATGGGGCTTGAACTCAGGGCCTGGGCTCTGTCCCTCAGCTCTTTTGCTTAAGGCTAGTGCCCTACCATTTTGAGCTACAGCTCCACTTCTCATTTTTCAGTGGTTACTTGGAGATAAGAGTCTAGCAGTATTTCCTGTCAGAGCCAAATGAATCAGATCTCCACTTCCTGCGTGGCTAGGATTACAGGCTTGAGCCACTGTCTCCCGGCTTAACTCTGTTTTTATATGACACCTTTTCCTACCAGGAGGCCTCAGTGCCAGGGATACCATGTTGGCCATTACCTGGGTGACCGGGTTTCTGGGCCAGGTCCCAGGTCAGCTGCATCTTTGTCTGATTCTGACTCAAGGTGACTTGCCTGTCGCCTGGAACCTGCAACTCCAGCGTCACTTCTGTGAAGATGGAAATAACACAAGCAGAGCTAGATGAGGACAAATATGTGCGTGCATGTGTATACATAATGCAGATATATGATGCATATAGTGTATAATGTATGTGTGTGTTATATATAATGTACATATTCCATATCACCTATATAGTCACAGAACAATAGTGCATACATTGTGCATAATGTAGGTGAGATCGTCATTTGCAGAGGCTTAAAATAATAATAGCAATTGCACAGCAAGTGTTTGACAATCTCAGGTGCAACAGACAAATTCCTCAGGACACACACGCTTCCAGAACTGACACAGGAGTAACCCCAGCTACTCAGGAAGTTGGGATCTGAGAATCTGAGGATCTGAAGTTGGAAGCCAGCTCAGGCAGGAAAATTTGTGAGACTCTTATTTCTAAATATCCACCAAAAAGCTGGAAGTCTGTGACAGTGCCCAGGCCCTGAGTTCAAATGTCAAGACTGGTGCAAACACACACACATACACTGACCTGAATCCTTTCTAACTTTGTTTCTTCACAAAAGACAGCAGGAGGGAAAAGTATTTTAACGATTCTATAAGATGTCACAAGAGCACTAATTCATGTAAACTTAATCATGCAGCTGGTGGCAGAGAACAGGAGGATCATAATTTGAGGCCACCTCAGACAAGAAGTTTGTGAGGTTGTAAGAACAGTGCCAGAGAAACCCAGATTCTCAATAGAAAAAGCTGAGCCTGTCATCCTAGTTATGGTGAGAAACCCATAATTGGAGGATCACAGTCCAGGCAAAAAGTGAGAAGCTACTGCAGAATAAAAGGGCTGGAGCATGGCTTAGGGGGAGAGCACCTGTGAGCTTAGAGCTCTGAGTTCAGCCAGGCGCCAGTGGCTCACGCCTGTCATCCCAGCTACTCAGGAGGCTGAGATCTGAGGATCATGGCTCAAAGCCAGCCTGGGCAAGGAAGTCCGTGAGACTCTTATCTTCAGTTAACCACTCAGAAAACAAGAAATGGCACTGTGGCTCAAGTGGTAGAGCGCTCACCTTGAGCTGAAGAGCTGAGCAACAGCGCCCAGGCCCAGAGTACAAGCCCCACAACCAAACAACAACATCAACAACAAAACAACCTTAATCATGCACCAAAACCTTCAACAAACACCCTGCATTTGTTAGAGAGACTTGAGGGCGGTCAGGCACTTGTCTGTGGTGGGGGTGGGGCCCGCACCTGTGTCTGCAGGACGGAGGAAGGTGAGTGACCCCTCCGGCAGGGTCTGGCCCAGGACTCTCAGTGTGTTTTCCAGGTCCAGGAGCAGCTGAGTGGCCACACAGTGCTGCTGTGAGCGAGGCAGGGTCTGCAGGTCCCCAGGGGTCTCCAGCAGCTCATCCAGACTCTCCAGGACACTCTGGAGGATGGAGGACAGAGACAACGTGACCACAGGCCAGAGAGACGGCATGGAGAAAGTAAACCACCCGGCCACGGGGCCCAGAGGCCCGAAGATAATCCAGAGCGGGTGGAAGTTGTGCCCAGGTTGAGAGCAAGAGAAAACTAGTGAGTGCACTTGGTGTATGTGCGTGTGTGTGTCTGTGTGTGTGTGTGTCTGTCTGTCCTTCCACAGGCGGCAGGACCCCGCCGCCCCGCGGCCTCTCCTCTGTCAGATCGCAGCTGCCCTGGCCTCCCCCGCGCCCTGCTCACCCGGATGGCGTCCGCTGTGTCCCGGGCTGTGTGTGGCTGGAAGTCTCTGGTCAGATTCTGCATCTCCTCCAAGAAGGCGGCCAGAGCCTGGGGGCAGAGGGGGCGCTCAGAGCCCGGCCCCGCGTGGGGTGCGTGGGGCGGCCGAGGGGCCTCACCCCACCCCGACCCCGCTGCGCCCCTCACCGGGCTGTGGACTCCGGGGGGCGCCGTCCAGGCGGGGAAGACGACCTCTGCGGGGACAGAGCGGGTCTCGGTGGGCGGGGCGGGGCGGGGCGGGGCGCGGGGTGGGCGGGGCGCGGGGCGGGCGGGGCGGGGCGTGGGGAGAGGGCGGGGCGGGGCGGGGCGGGGCGCGGGGCGCGGGGCGGGCGGGGCGGGGCGGGGCTCGGCTCCGGCACCTGCGCACGCGGTCCTCCCCGGCAGCGGCCGCCAGCCCGGGGGGCAGCGGCACCTGTAGGACCCCACGGTGTTGACGCAGTCGGCGGAGCTGTGGCACTGGTGCTGTCCGGAGCGGCACTCGTCCACGTCTGCGGAGACAGGAACGGCTCAGACCCCGTCCCCGCCCCGCGGTGATTCAAGGTGGTCAGCCGCGGCGGCGGAGGGCGCGGGGCTCGGGCGGGCGCGGGCGCCGGTGCGCGTGCGCCGGGCCGTGGGCCGTCTGGAATCGCGTCCCATGTCAGTCATCAGCGGACTGGGACTCCAGGTCCAGCCAGGGCGCGCGGGGCGTGGCCAAGCGGGCGCGGCAAAGCGAGGGGGCGTGGCCAACCGTGGACTCTCCACCCGTGGGCGTGGCTAAACGTGGGCGGGAAAGTCAGAGGCGAGATGAAGAGGGGCGTGGCAAAGTATAGGCGCGCCCAACAGTGGGCGTGGCCAGACAGTGGTATCTAGCCAGTGGGTGTGGCCATTCAGGGTGTGGCTAAGCGGTGGGCGTGGCCCGTTCCGGTGCCTGGGAGTGGCAGAGTCTGCAGGCTGCCGACCTTCACACTGGGTGTGCCTTGGGCCTTCTGGGGATCCCTGAATCGGCCTCCAGCCGCGTCGGCAGCGGCACTGGTACCCTCCGGCTTTGTTGAGGCAATGGGCGGAGCTGTGGCAGCTGTGGTGGCCGGAGGTGCATTCGTTCACGTCTGAGGACAAGGCGTGAGAGTCAGAGCCTGCCCGACCCTCTGGCACCGCCACAGCCAGGCAGTCTGCCTCTCTCAGCCTCAACGGTGCCCACCTGGTCTACAGACTAAGAACCCCGGGGCGTGGCCGGCGGTGGGGCGTGGCCGGAGGTGGGGCGTGGCCGGAGCTGGGGCGTGGCTCAGCGGTGGGGGTGTGGCCTGGTGACGGTCGCAGCTCATTGGCTGAGGTGTGACTCATCATGACTCATTAGCGGGAGCGCTTGCCTCCCTCGCACAAGGCCCCAGCGATCACCCTCAACTCCCTCGCACAAAAGAGGCCAGACAAAGCAAAAGACATTGTGCCTTCCAGACAGGTGCTCCAAGATGGAGCCACGCCCCCACAATGTAGCTCCGCCCCTCCAACCACGCCCACTGAAAACCACGCCCACAACCCATCCACGCCCACTCCCCACGCGCCCAGCACTAGCCAAGCTCTACCAGCTTAATACTGTAGTTTTAAGATCTTGACAAGATAGGTGTTTTCTCCATTGTTTTTGTCTCTGCGTCTCAGCACACCATCCAAGGATCTTAACACGTCTCACATGTCCACGGTGTTTCAGAGAGTGGGGTCCTGCCTGCAACTGGTCCCCACGTTTGCTCCTGACCGTGGCACCACCTTGCAGCTAGACGTTTGTGCACAGGTGCGCGCGCACCTGTCCAGCCCGTCTCACGCTCTAGGCCTCTTAACAACCATTCCTTGGTGATGGGGAGGAGGGCGGGGTCTCACCTTGACACGTGTTCTCACTCTCGTTGCTGAATATTTTGTCCCCAGACTCGAGTGCATATCCTGGGCTGCACACACAGTAATAGCTCCCTTCCGTGTTCTCGCAGTCTGCAAACTTCCCACAGTACGTCCTCAGAGGTGGTGCACACTCGTTGATGTCTGCAACACACAGGCCAAAGGTCACCTTCCAAAGGTGTGAGTTCTCTCAGGAGGGAGACTCCCCCACCCCCAAACCCGACCCCCAGCACTGGGGCTGATCTCGCTTTTGAAAAGAATCTTGGGCTGCACTCTGAAGCTGGGCTGCACCGGGAGCAGGCCATTCCTGAAGGCTGATCAGTCAGCTCTGCTCCTCTGAATTCTCAGGGTGACATGCAGGATTTAGGCACAGTGGACAGTGACAGGGTAGGGGATGGGCTGGAGGCTCAGCACCTCCCTCTCCTAGTCCTGAGGGAAGATGGACACACAGACTCCTGGCCACCCAGGTCCTTTCTCCACAGGAAGCCATGCACATTGATTTCTTGTTTCTCCCCTTCTTTTCTCTCCTTCAGTGATGGACCCCAACTGTGACCCGAGTCCCCCACTCTCATAGGACTAGACCCCCCCTCCAGTGTGCCCTGCACCCCAGGCCTCTGTACCGTCACAGCTGCCGTCAGGGCTGGTGATGAGCTCCTCGACTGAACTGAATCCCGCATCACAGCGGCAGGTGTCGGCACTGAGACACTTGGAGTTCGGAGGACACCACCTGGCACAGTCTGAGGCAGGGATGGGGACCAGGTGAGGAGCCGGGGCTGGGGCGGGGCCAGCGCCATCCCGGGGGAGAGCCCAGGGGAGGGGGGGGAAGAGGGGGCGGCCCTGTGAGGGGTGCGGGGAGGACGCTGCCCCCAGCCTCCAGGTGGGGACCGAGTGCTCCCTGCAGACTCACCTCCTGCCTTCTGGGCTGCAGCTCCACACAGACTCAACACCGTGCACAGCACTGCAACGGAGCGGGGAGGGGTCAGGGTGCCTTTGAGGGGTGGGGTGCGGACCACGCTCCGAGGCTTGCATTATGTCAGCTCCAGGATTTGTCCCATGGGCGCCTCTGCGAGCCCATGGCCACGGCACACTTGGGGTCCCTTCAGGACACAGACAGGGGGCCTGGCCACCCCATCCTCATTCTGCGCCTCGGGCAAGGAGCAGGTCTATCTCCTTCCTGTACCAGGGCAGGAGCAGCCAGGGCCAAGGCAGTGCCTGGTCTTCAGGGAAGAACAGAGGCCCTGGACCGGGCATTTCCTCAAATCTCCACCAGCCCAGCTCTCGGTGCCTTCAGACTGCAGAGGGGAAGTTGACGTGATGGGCTGCGGAGGGGACCTTGTGCCCCTCTGTTCCTGATGCTGGGCCTGGGGGTGGTTGGCCCCTGCCCAGGGCAGGTCCTGTTTAGTCTCCATTCAACAGAGAGATGCAGGAAAGGGGCTGAGCAGGTGAGAAAACAGAGAGAGAGACAGAGACAGACAGACAGACAGACAGACAGATGGAGTAGGAGGACAGAAGGATGGGTACACTGTATAGGCAACTGGGACTGGTCGCCTTACGACCTCACAAACTTCTTGCCTGATGTGGCCTCAAATTACGATCCTCCTGTTCTCTGCCTCCTCTGACAGGCAGCATGAATCATTGCAGCAGGACACATAATCATGTTTTAAACACTAAGGGACATGTAATATACAACTATGCCAAGCTTTGGAACATATGAATTAATTTATGGCCCCTCTCTTGGTCCCTAGTCCCTGCCAGAAGAAATAAGAAATAAGATAATAGTGCTATTATCACCCCTATTTTTTTTTTTTTTTTTTGTCAGTCGTGGGGCTTGAACTCTGGGCCTGGGCGCTGTCCCTCAGCTCTTCAGCTCAAGGCGAGCGCTCTACCACTTGAGCTACAGCGCCACTCCCGGTTTTCTGGTGGTTTATTGGAGATAGGAGTCTCACGGTCTTTCTTGCCCGGGCTGGCTTTGAACCGCGATCCTCAGATCTCAGCCTCCTGAGTAGCTAGGATTACAGGCGTGAGCCACCAGCGCCCGGCTTATTATCACCCCTATTTTACAAAGTTTTTTTTTTTCTTCTTTTTTTTTTGGTCCAGTCGTGGGGCCTGAACTCTGGGCCTGGGTGCTGGTCCTCAGCTCTTCAGCTCAAGGCGAGCGCTCTACCACTTGAGCCACAGCGCCACTTCCGGCTTTTTTTCTTTTTGCTTATGTGGTGCTAGGGAATTGAACCCAGGGCCTCATGCATGCAAGGCAAGCGCTCTACCACTGAGCCGCCTTCCCAGCCCCATCACCCCTATTTTACATAAGGGAAAACCAAAGCTCAAGGACAGGAGAGCTCATGAGTATCAATGTCACTGATAAGAGACAAAGCCAGGATTTGAACCTAGGAATCTGGACCCAGATTCTACCATTGCTCTCCATACCATTTGGCTCTCTGGGATGGTGGCTGAGTTACAGGAAAAAGTGAATTCCAATGTCTATGTCCACATGTACAGTCAAGTTCCTTTGTCCCTTGTGTACGGTGCGCACACACACTTAGCATGTGCCCTAGTTGGGTGTGGCAGGGTGTGCCTCTAGTCCCTGCTGTTTGGGAGGCTGAGCCACAAGGATTGCTTGAGCTGTCTCAACAGCAAACTAAAGCAAACACACACACACACACACACACACACACCCCTCTTGGAGAAGTTGACAGCACTGAATTTGTTTTACATTTTTACACTATTTAAAACCTGAAGCTGGTGTCTCAGGCCTTTAATCCTAGCTACTCAGGAGGCTACTCAGGAGGCTGAGATCTGAGGATCAAGGTTCAAAGCCAGGCCGGGCAGCAAAGTCCATGAGACTCTTATCTCCAATACACCACTCAGAAAACCAGAAGTGGCTCGGTTTGAGTGGTGGAGCACCAGCCTTGAGCTGAAAAGCTGAGAGACAGCGCCCAGACCCAGAGTTCAGGCCCCAGGACCAATAAAATTTTTTTTTCTACACTATTCAGTGCTGTTCAAAGTGTTCCCAGCTTTGGAAAAAAAGTCATGTTTTACACATCAGATAGGAAGTTATATTCATAAATACCAAGTTATATTCATAATATACACATCAGACAGGAAGTTATATTTATACCAAGTTATATTCATAAAAACCAAATATATTCATAAATACCAAGAAACAAGTTACAGCCAAAGAGACAAGGGCCTAAGATAGATGTCTCAACTACTGACAGTCTCCTCATTATGAAATTATTATTCTCACTATTAAAGGAAATGAATACTAATCAGAATTCGCTGCATATTGATGAGATTTTTTTTCCCCCAGAGCACAATGCATATCAATACCTCATTAAAAAAAACTGTTTTTGGTTGGTTCTGGCGTGAACTCTGGGCCACTGAGGCGCTGTCCCTCAGCTCTTCAGCTCAAGGCTAGCGCTCTACCACTTGAGCCACAGCGCCACTTCCGGCTTTTTTTCCTGCTTATGTGGTGCTGAAGAATTGAACCCAGGGCCTCATGCATGCAAGGCAGGCACTCTACCACTGAGCCACCTTCCCAGCCCATCAATATTTCAAAGTACATTTTTTATGCTAGTGCTAGGATTTGAACTCAGAGCCTCTCACTTCCACTTGAACTTTTCCACACAGCTCCATTTCTGGATTTTTGTTGGCCAGTTGGAGATAAAAGAGTCTCATGGACTTTCCCACCTGGGTTGGGTTTGAACCACGATCCTCAGTAATCAGCCTCCAGAATAGTTGGAATGTCAGGCGTGAGCCACTGGCATCTGCCTTCAGATGGCTTTTGGGTTAGAGTATTAGAGGTCAAGTATCAGCTTCTGTCTGGCTCGACATCTTGACACACCTTGAGGAATTCCAGCATATGTCATCAGCAAGATGACCATAGATACTGGAAAAAAAATGACTTTCTTGTTGGAGAACTTAACGTAAGAGAATGAACATCTGCCCAGCACCTGTGGCTCATTTTTGTCATCCTAGCTACTCAGGAGGCTGAGATCTGAGGATCACAGTTCAAAGACTTCCAGGCAGGAAAGTCCCCATGAGACTCATCTCCAATGAACCACCAGAAAACCAGAAGTGGTGTTGTGGCTCAGGTGGTAGAGCACTCGTCTTGAGCTGAAGCGCTGAGGGACAGCGCCCAGGCCCAGAGTTCAAGGCCCACAACCGACAGAAAAAAGAAAAAAAAAGAGTGAACATCTCAAAAAAATATCATCCCTGCTGTTATAGAGAAGCCAGAAATCAAGTTAAAGGCCGAGAAGATTTGCAGGCTGGGTACACGGTCCCCAGCTACCATTACCTGTCTCTTGTGATTGTCATAATTCAACTTACCTGGGAGCAGTCTTAAATACCCGTGCCTCATGGTCCAGAAACTGGCAAGGTTGGTCATGGAGAAATACTTGATTCTTGTCTGAATGAGCTAAAAAATGCTTCCTGTTTTAAGGAGAACTCGTGACCAAGATGGTTTAGGAAGCCACTGATCTGAATGTTTTGTTTTGAAACCCCCTTATCTGTATGATGTTCATGTTTCCGGAACTCACAGTTCCGTTTTCAAGTATTTGCTTTACATTAGAAGAAACTCTGCAAAAACGCCTTTTGGGGATGGCTCCTAAAATACTTTGTTACAGGGAGTGTGAAGTTACATATTAGAATACATCTCAACATGTAGAACCATCCTACTGGATTCCAGCATCTGTGTGTGTGTGTGTGTGTGTGTGTGTGTATTGCTGATTAACATAGTTAGCTGCTTTTCTTTTTGTCAGTCATGGGGCTTGAACTCTGGGCCTGGGCATTGTCCCTCAGATCTTCAGCTCAAAGCTAGCGCTCTACCACTTGGTCCACAGAGCCCCTTTGATTTTCTGGTGGTTTACTGGAGATAAGAGTCTCATAGACTTTGCTGCCCAGAGTGGCTTTGAACCACAATCCTCAGATCTCAGCCTTTTGAGTAGCTAGGGTGACAGGTGTGAACCACCAGTGCCTGGAGGTTAAATTTTTTTTTTTAAACCCAATTGATTCTGAAATACAGATCCACAGAAAGTTGCAAACACAGCACCAAGAAGTTATGGGTAGCCTTCACTCAGTATTGCCCAAGGTTACACTTAGATGAGAACAGTCCATTGTCAAGAAATTGGTATAGTGCATTCATTTTGTGGCATTCTTTGTCGGTAATGGTACCAGTGCTGGAACTCAGGACCTGGGCAGTGTCCCTGAGCTTTTCTCAGTCAAGGCTGTCACTTTACCACTTGAGCCACAGCCCCACTTTTGGTTTTCTGGTGGTTTTTTTGGAGATAAGGGTCTCATGGACTTCCCCTGCCTGGGTTGGCTTTGAACCATGCTCTTCAGATCTCAGCCTCTTGAGTAGCTGGGATTACAGGTGTGAGTTGCTGGGCCTGGCCTTTAATTCTCTTTTTATTTTGACTATTTTTTTTATTGTGCAAATACCATACAGAGGGGTTACAATTACATGAGCAAAGTAATGAGTACATTTCTTATCAAGCATGGTTGCCTCCTCCTTTGTTTCCCCTTACCATTCCTGCCCTTCCCCCCCCCCCCCCCCCCAGCTTTTATACCATTACATGTCTCTTTATGGAAGAGGCACCATCCCCATAGAGAACTCTTCATGCTCCTCGAGCTCCCTTCCCTTTTGGTGGTGGTGAGGGGGAGTGGGCAAAGGGACTTTGATGAAAATGTTGGAAATTTCCATGGTAGAGCTGATCTACTTGCAGTTCAAGTCTATCTTGATCACTGAGCTCTGGTGACTGAGATGTTTCTCCTCTGTGTAAGGTCTGCTCCTGGATGGCAAGCAGACTCCACCCTCCTCGCAGCAAAGTCTCCACCCAGTACCTGCTTTACCTAGGCAACTGGGACACCTGGAAGAGGTCACATCTGCATCCGCTGAGGTCACATCTGAATTTGATGTGGCCACACCTTTCCCCGCCCATACCCTAGATAAGGGCTAGCTCAGGCCCAGACTCTTTCTCTCTCTCTGTTCATTTCTAACTCTCTATCCCTCTTGCTGTTCTTTTCTAGCTCTCTCTCTCTCTCTTGCTCTTCTTTTCTAGCTCTCTCGGCTCTCTCTCTGCTCTAGCTCTTTCCTCTCTCTTTCCTCTCTTTCCCAGCCACGTGGAGTGCCAACCTTGCCTGGTCCCAGCAGGTCTACTGAATAAACCTACCCCTTACCTGAATACCACGTGCGTGCTGGTGCTGTTCTTACTCGGCTACCTCTTTTTAAAAACCTAACATAAATGGTGCCGTGACTCGGATAAAGGCTTAAAGTCAGGAAAGCTGGGATTTCTCTGTTTTTTTCCTCTTTTTTCTTTTTTTTGTTCTTCCCTTTTTGCTCTGAGGAATACCCGCAGTTCTGACGGCCTTTTGCAAACCAGTCTGTCTGCGGCGGAATCAACGCATGGATACCATTGCTGCCTTCACATCCATGTCCACACCACTTCTCTACTCTGGTGAGTGAAGCTACTCTCTACGGCTCTCTGTTGCTCAGTCTCTGTCCAGATGTGGCGCCACGCCAGAGAGCTCCTACAGCCTTTAGCTGAAAGGCTGGTCACCTCTGAAGCCGAGGACGCTTGGCTTTGGGGGCTTGGCCATTTCTCTCTAGAGGGCTCTGGGGGAAGTCGGGACGCCGCTTCTGCCTGGTCAGCTCTCCTTCACTCACCAGACTGACTCTACTCATTTATTTAATGGGGTGCTACGAATCACGCCTGAGCCGTGAAACCCCTTTGAAATGCCTCCTGTGCTCCCTGGAAAGCCAGAGAGCCTAATTTTATGCCATTCTCAGAAGTACACAGTTTTTACCACTGCAATGGTAAATGGTCAGAAGTTTAATTTCAGGCTGTCTTTGCTCTCTCTCTGCCATTCATGTCCAACTTTCTACCCTTTTTTCTACAACTTTTTGGCTTGTGCCTTGAAGAGTGCAACACAGGCTGGGTCCCGGGGACCCCCCTCTAGGTTCCCTCTCAAAGGCTAGCCAATGTAGGCTTGGTCTATTTGTTCAGGCTTTCTTTGCATTCTTTCAGAAGTTCGCCATCTTGAATTCGCCATCTTGGCCACGTGGTGGGTTAAGGGTTTAGCCCCATCTGACCTGAAAAACCCCAGCCTGTGCTTGCCCATTAGGTACCCCAAGAAAATTGCTGCCCCTTACCCTACTTACCTAAGGGGGTGGTGGGGCAGGATACGTGCAGGCCGCTAACCAGGAAACGAAACCACGAGCCTCTGAGTCACCGCCTGCATGACCCTAGTACATGCCTTAAAACCAGGCATTCCGGTAAAATAGCCGACCACCACATTCCTTCCTGTAAAACTTAGCCTTAATGCTAGGGTGAGGCAGGATGTGATAAATCACTTGTCAAAACTAGGGGACGAACAGTTTCGGTGCATAACGACCAGCACGGGCATGTCAGGGCAAGTACCGACACGTCAGCCTTCCCCCAACCCCACCTACCCCATCTGGCCAGCTTAACCTGACCAATCCTCACCCTGAGCGTAATTTGAACTTAACCAATCATCCCCCTGTAACCACGCATCTCGCTTCTGTAACCTCGCTTCTGCTGTCCATAAAAAGAGGGTGCTTTCAAGCACTCGGGGCGCAAGTCTCCCGATAGACTTTGTCGCCCCGGGTACCCGTGTAACCGGTTCTCAGACACTCAACCCGAACCTTGTGGATCTCGAGGTTGAGTGCACCTGGGAGCCGAGGGCTTGCCCGAATAAACCTCTTGCTGTTTGCATCCGCACAAGTGGTCTCGTTGTTCCTTGGGGAAGGGTCTCTTCAGATTGAAGGACACCCCACGCCGCCGGGGGTCTTTCATCCCTTAACCTTCCACCAAGCTTACTACTCCATCCATCTATTCTAAGGTGCCTTGCTAACAAGTTGCTCTTTTCACAGGCCCTGGTAACGGAGGCCCAACCATCTGATGTGCTTTGTTAGCAAAGATGTCTAAACATTGTTGAAATTTTAGGTTTTAAGTTTTGCCTTTTTTGTTTTGTGTTGTGTATTCTACTACTGAATAAATGGTTCTAAAATACTGGGCATATCTATGCTAAAATTCTCATCACATCTAATGAGTTTTGTCATTTCAGAATATTTGTTGGTCAATTCTTGATAAGAACCAGGTAAGCTCTACTTATTCTACTTGATCTCCTTGTTGCCTTAATTGGAAATAATAAAGGGCTTTTGTGGCAAAGATTGCAGTTCAAAGCCAGCCTGGGATGAAAAATCCCTAAGACTCCATCTCCCAGCTAAACTCTGCAAGTGGTACTATAACTCAAAGTGGTTCAGTGCTAGCCTTGAGCAGAAGTGCTCAGGGACAGTGCCCAGGCCTTGAGTTCAAATCTTGAATACCAACTGGGACAAGCCATCTCAGCAACGAGCACCTAGACTCAGCCAGTCTGGGGAACAAGGAAACATGGAGAAGAGTAAGAGATGATGTCACATCAGCTACTTTGTGCCTGCCCTTTCAAAATTAACCAGAGCCGGGAGGTAGAAGAAGCCTGCCCATCCAATGTCCATACCTGTCTACCTATTAATGGAACAGGAATTTATATTCTTGCCTTTGTCACCTGACTTCTCTACCTAGTTGCCAGATGTCAGAAGTAGCTAGGGACATTTCTACCAACATTTTCAGCTCCAAATCTTTCCTCTTGCCATTTATTTGCTGTCTAGTATTTTTTTTCCAGCCCCTCAATGCTCATGAGACTTCTCCTGACTTCATCTAAGAATTCAACGCCACCAAGGGACAGCTGCTGCTCACTGCCTTCTCTGGGAGGGGACCAAATTCCAGCCTCTTACCCCTATTGTCGACGCCCCTTGCCAGCAGGAAGTAGCCAGAGAGAATCCTCGCCCTATTTCATGATTATTAAAAGGCTGGAATGTAAGGTCCGCTCCTGGATGGCAAGCAGACTCCACCCTCCTCGCATCAAAGTCTCCACCCATTACCTGCGTTACCTAGGCAACTGGGACACCTGGAAGAGGTCACATCTGCATCCGCTGAGGTCACATCTGAATTTGATGTGGCCACACCTTTCCCCGCCCATACCCTAGATAAGGCCTAGCCCAGGCCCAGACTCTTTCTCTCTCTCTGTTCGTTTCTAACTCTCTATCCCTCTTGCTGTTCTTTTCTAGCTCTCTCTCTCTTGCTCTTCTTTTCTAGCTCTCTCGGCTCTCTCTCTGCTCTAGCTCTTTCCTCTCTCTTTCCCAGCCACGTGGAGTGCCAACCTTGCCTGGTCCCAGCAGGTCTACTGAATAAACCTACCCCTTACCTGAATACCATGTGCGTGCTGGTGCTGTTCTTACTCGGCTACCTCTTTTTAAAAACCTAACACTCTGCTGCAGTTTTCCTGTCTGTAAATTGGGGATTGTGTGTGTCACACGCATGACAGGAGAGAAAGGAAGGCAAGGCTGG